CCGAGTAATCCAAAACATTCCTGTGGCTTCACTCGAAAACTGATTTCTTTCACAGCCATTAGCTTGCCATAATATTTGCTTAATTCATACACTAAGAAGAGACTGTCCCAGTCATTTAAGGAATCTAGGAATTAAGGCATTTTCTACTACACCTAATACATAGTAAATAATGTATATTTGTATATGACTTTATGTACAGGTGTAAAAGTTACGAAAAAAGAATTGGAAGCAAGTCCCACAGAGACTCCCAACTTGAACTCAGTACAAGATTCAGTACTGAGTTCAAGTTGGGAGTCTCTGTGGGACTTGCTTCCAATTCTTTTTTCGTAACTTTTACACCTGTACATAAAGTTATATACAAATATACATTATTTACTATGTATTAGGTGTAGTAGAAAATGCTTTGCTTTTTTTTGTACAAAATTCAATCTTTATTTGAATAACATTATAAATTCATATAAGCGCAAATAACAAAAAAAACTCAATCCCAGCTGTTTCGCAGGTTTTTTTTTAGTTTACACTGTATTTTCATTCAACAATGCCTGCAGTTTGTCCAGAACGTGGTTGATCTTTCAAATCAAAATTTTCATCGCAAAATTTTTTGTATCAATTTTAGGTATTGTGTCATGTGTGATTTACAGCATTATTACCATATGCAGTACAAATCATTTCGGCAGCTTCAGCAGCATTTTTTTTTAGATAAAATGCTAGATGGATTGAGTATAGAGTATGTTTCTTAGTCATTGCTATATTATTAACAACTGAATAACGGTATTAATTTTTGAAGTTATGGCTCCTCCACACCATTGCTTTTTGTACTATTAATATTAACTTTAAAATCGCAATAAGGCAAAAATATTTCAATTTGAAATGATGCTCTGATCGGTGCAAAACTTAAAGCAAAGAACTTTCTACTACACCTAATAGACATATTTTATATAAATTATAATGTTCATGTTCAGCTATTTAACTTTCATGTATCGTTTCTTTGAAGATTAGAAATTATCTTACTTTGGTTATTAATTTTATTAATTTCTTCCGTTACTGCAAGTTTCTCCTTTTTCACTTGATCATCCATTATATCTTGTCCCTTCCTTAATTTTGTACCTTTTATTTTCAGGAGTAATTTTGAAAACAACTTCTCTTCCATTATAATTAATAAAGCACAATATAAAATTGGTGTTAGAGCTAGGTATACTATACATTCTTTGAAACTCATTTCATATATTGTGCCGTTATTAAAGTAAGATAATTGATTCTCGCATATTCCATCTACGCAATTCAAGTCTGAAAAGAAAAATGAAATAAATCATAAATTCTATAGTTAGCATCTTGCATTTGATTCAAATATTGCATAATCTTACCACAACAAGTATGTTTTGGTTTTGGAAAGCAAATTATATCCAGATGATTATTTAGTAGACGACGACACCTTGCATTTCGTAATGATATTTTGAAAAATGATAGTTGACCGTGGAACAAACTTACGTAAGGAATTAAAGGGAAGATTCTGTTTTGCAGAATAGATAGCGGATAAAGCCAATAATAACTGTATAGTCTTACTTCACGTAGAGAATACTTTATAAAAACTGGAATAATTTTTCAGATTTAATTTTCTTTGTAAATAATGATGTATTCGTATTTTCAATAGAGTATTGAATTTATTTAATTCAATAATTCCAAATTCAATAAATCCATTGAAACTTTTAATATCTTTAAGAACAAATATTGCAAGTTTACCAAAGCCAATAGGTATGGTATCCAATATGGTTATTATAGTACTCCTTGATTTATTCATAAAACTAAATAGATATGTAAAAAGTAAAATGTTAACACCGAATAACTCCAGAAGCAATATCGTGCACACTGTAAAAGGAAATAAATAAATATATAAATATTAAAATATAATAGTAATTAATATTGAATATAATTTAAAAACTTACTTATTTCTGTTATATAATATAGACGAAGATCAAGAATAATATCCATGATGTAGAGTGATAATGTAATTACCAGCACACATAACGTAAGTATCAGAAAATCAAAAGCAAACATTGTACCCCAATATAATACCGATGTGACACCGGTCATGCGCTGGAGTTGTTTAACTTTTGTCTCTGTTTCTTGTAAAGGGTGCACTACAAAAAGTGACACAGTGGAAAAGAGGAATGAACAGAATATGAAAGCGATCGGAAATGGTTCCAAAGGCATAAAAAATATATTCGGTAATAGTTGCCTAGACGCAATGATCGAATATTTATCGCCAGCGAAAGCTTTGATTAACGAATTACTTAAGAGATTTATCGTTAACGGCACGCTGTGTACTGCTGAGCCGGAATAAAAACCTTTAGCCCACGTCACGTTACTTTCAGTGTCATTAAATTCGGCAGATACGATAAGATTGTTTCGGTATTCCACAATATCTTTCATGGAAAAATTTAGAAGAGCTGAAAGAAATAATTGATATAAAAACTATCGTTCAGACAAATTTATTATCGTGTCTGATGCACAAAAAAATCATTATATAATACACTTACCATCTATAATACTTGCATTTGAAGCTATACGCTCTGCTGTACCGAAATGTTCAACAATGTCTCTGTATTTCTGACCAAATAATTCGTTGTTTGACGAATATAAAGCTTTGGGATGTCTGTACATGTCAAGAGTTAATGGAATAATATCTGTGGAATCGGTAGATCGGAAGAGCACACG